CATGCATAATCAAACACTAGATAGTGCATCAGCCCAGCCTAACACAGGCCACCAGACAGAAAGAAAGTCGCTTTGCTAGCCCATCCAACCTTCATACACCCTGTCAAATTACATACACAACTAGTGTGGTGTATGTGTGTAATATTTCAAGATGAAATACAGTGAAATGTGAGCTGTGCAAAGGATGAATAGTACCATGTGTTAAAAAGCTCAAGATTGTTTTTTTGCATATTCCCTATTTCGTCCTGAAAATTTTACACACTTGTGCATTATGCCTTTATCTATCTCTGTATTTTTTTAGATTTTTTAATATAAAAATATGATTTTTCCTGATATTTGAATTTTGCATTTACAACGTGTTTGATTGGGGGTAATTAGAGCTAGGGAATGGAAATTGAAGGGGTACGAGACTTCAAATCTATTGTTTGGTTAGGAGGATTGCGAGTTCATAAGGAAATAGTCATGGGACTTAAGACTCCAACTTCCATCGTTTTATTAACAGGGAAGGGGGTGGGAGTTGGAAAGAAATTGTTTTAGTGAGTCAATCTTAACCCTTCATCATAACTTTACATTAATTTCTCTTGTCTATTCCCTTGTCAATTCCCACGAACGAATTGCGAATAAAACGACTCATCTCATGTCTAATCTCAATACAACTTCCTACATTAAACTCTCATTTCCCTTACCAAATTTTGTCAAACACGCTGTTAAAGTTCTCAATGGAGCTCGACCTTCGAAAGCAATTTCCGAACCCAACATGATTTTTGCCTGTATTTAGCCGGCAACACGCTGTTGATTAAGCATTTTCGCTGGACGGGCCCGCGTCGACGTGGCAAAAGAGACTGCCACACGGGCAGGTCGCACCCGAACACCAAAAGAAATTGAGAGCCCCCATCCGAGTCTCTTCCGCCGGAATCAAGGTCGCCGCCTAACTCCTCCCTCCCTCGCCGACGAAGCTGCTGCCTCCGCCGCCGAGAGGAGCTCCGAGCTCGTCCCCCACCTCGCGTCCCCGCCTCTGTGCTGCCGCCGCCGGCCCCTGCATCCTCCCCTCTAGCGGCTCCAGCCTGTGCGGTCCCCGTCACCCCGTCTGTGACGAGCTCCGCATCCTCCCGTGCAGGGACTCCGACCCGTGCTGCCGCCATCAACCTCCCCTCAAGCGGCAAGGTGAGGCATCTCCTCCCTCCCTCTTTCATGTTTTTTTTTTTTTGGTTTATATTACTGTCTCTTGGATCTGTTAGTGGGCACATATCTGTATACTGCTTGGATGTCATGTATTGGATCTGTTAAGTTCCAATTACTTTGATTAGGATGTGGTAAACCATAGGGATGTAATAATGTGCGGATATTGAACCTGCTAATGTCTGTTAAGATATGTACGGTGTTTGGTGTATGCTTTCTGCGAACCATCAGAATGTTCATATCATTCCTGAAGCAGCTAGAGCTAATTACAAAATCTATGTGCAGTGTAAATTCTATATTGTCTAGATTTATCCTACATCTGTTTAAACCTGGAATCACAATGTTCCGATCGCTGCCGCCTGGGAGTCCCAGATCCACCGGACAACCCCACCGAGCTGCACCACTCCTGTGCAACAAACCTTTTGGAACCTTCACCGGTAAAGATACAAATTGGGGAGTTACCGGCGACGGTAGTCTTTTAGATAAGAGTGGCATTAAATATTCAGAAAATACGGGATATGGTAAGTGAAAACTGGATAAGCAAATTTGGGGTTTTAGGGAGTTCTGTGTGAGGCTTAGCTGCAATTATGAAAAGGCTTAGCTGCAATTGGTGGCAATATTGTTCTTATGGTAGAGTAGCTTCTTAACTGTGGCATCAAGGTTATGGTGAGGTGCATGAGTTTCCCCTTTTTGTATGGTTGCATATTGCTGTTTATATAGAGCTGCTGTTTATTTAGAGCTAGTGTTTTTGTTCGGTAATCCTGCATACCACCGCCTATTTGAGAGATTTGTTTTAAAGCTGGGTTGGTAAGAAAGTAAAAAGGCGCAACTAGGCTAGTGAGATGGATTAGTAAGTTAGCTTGTGACTACCGGTGTCCTTGACCTAGGTTGGTCAGAATTCACATAGTTGATCTAGTTTGGAGAGGTTGGTAACAAAGTCAACAGTAAATAGTTTGGTATTCTCATTCGACGTATTGGTTTACCTGACGAAGTTATTGGCAGGATCTTATGTTATAACCCAGAGTATTGCTTGTTATGGTTTTATGTTCAAATGGGTCTGTATTTATGTTTTCACTCTTGCTTTATTGCATATATTTTTTGGCACTAAGCAAATAACATGCATTTGGATATTGGTGTAGCACTCCCACATTTTTTGGAAACTCACATGACTTGACATATACTTAGTGCATCGTATATCTTGCTTAGTGTTACAGATTGTTGGCATGGTGCTGTGATTATCACATGTTTATGTGCAGTAACATCGAGCTTTATACCTGCTTTTATGCTTACAATTGATGATATAGTATGAATTTGAGGCTGTTGTTGCCCACAAGAGAAACTGTGTTGGCCTTTTTGAATAAATATTGACTTGGCCGGATTTTTGTGTAGTGCGGCGGCACTTAAGGCAGAATTGGTACCTGGCATGTTGCAAATCATTCTACATTTATGTGTTATCTAGAACCATTATTGTTTCACGCAGAAGCATATAGGTGATAATGTATTGTTATTTGTGCCAGTGCCTATAAATTTGGGTGAGAATGGCAGGACAATCGCCAAATCAAGTATCATCAGCTGAAGCTATCTTGGTGGGAGCCTTGTCCTCTGGTGTTAATGTAAGAAATACTGCAATGTGCGTTATTATGTTCGTTCTTAAATTTAATTTGATCTCGTGCTTTACGATATATTCCTGTATTCAGCCCCAGATTTAGTCATAATATTGTTCCCTTTTTTATGTGGTTATGGAATGCGCAAATAACTGTAATAAAGTATCCTAACCGATGTTTATCTTGTTGGTGTAGGCTCCCACGTGGGTCGTGCTCCAGATCACATTTTTGCTACTGGCATTCTGCTTCACCGCCATGCTCTACCTAGCCTTTTTCTCAAGCGACTTTGTGATCGTCGGGCACGTCCTTCTGCTCATAACCATCGGCGTGGTTCTATTCGTGCTCCTCAACAGGTCTCCCCTGTCCTCTCCTACCCTCACTCTCCACACGCTATCTACACTCTGTTGCGGCGAACAATCTTAGTGAGCTGAGATTTCTGCGCGTTGCAGGTTCCTCGCGGAGACTGGCTTCGTCCCGGTCGAACAGCAGATGCAGGAGATAGGGATCCACAAACCAGAAGCCACAGAGAAAGACAAGAGCAACTGAGCCACTTGGGCCTGACTTTTTTACATTACATTATGATGATGATGAAACAGAGTGTGCCACGCTGTACGTGACGACTCCACACATAGCATACACAAAGTTCAGATAGATGCTAATTGCATAGGTGCACATCTGTTTAAGTGCAGCGATACTTTGGAGCGGAGCAGCATCTTCAGCCATACGCTCGGCCGCTTCGTCAGTCCTTTGGTTTGCCGCTCTTCTTCTTCTTGACGTAGCAGAAGCACGAGCAGCAGGGGAACTGGAACAGGAACTTCATTGGTCTGGGATGGGACTCGCTGATGCTGTTGTTTGTTGCGTGCGTTGAGTTGGTGTGTTGCTGAAGGCGGGTCTGCATCCGGCCTTAGATATACTAGCGTGTTGATTCCTTGCTTGGCTGGTTGTGTTATCACAGGACGGTGGAGATTGTGGTGCTTTCTTCTGTGTGGGGTGGTTTGTGCGATTAATTTCATTGGCTTGTTGTGCCGAGAAGAATTTGTCGGCAAGTAACCGTGGCGATCGTTCCATCTGCCTCTACCGTAATGTATCCACTGCAAAGTAGTATTAAAACCCATTCACAAGCCATTACAAGTCTGGAATTATCCTCTGAAGAAAAGAAGGGGTAAACAAGTCTGGAGTTGGTAGTGGTTTTGAAGTTGTGAACAACTTCTTGCTTGCCTCGCTACCAAGCGGGAGGAATATCCTTTGGTTGCCTTTTTGACAAAGATGGATTTTATTTGTTTAAAATGAAGCATCAAGGTGGTACGAATACAAAGATGCACATAGCCAACACCAATACACACATACAAATCACACCAGCAACTAAAACATTTAAGTTTGAAGTGAAAACAAAAGAATAACTAAAAAAATTGACCGAGGAACTATCTAATACTATTACTTTCGAGGACCAGAATGATGCTCTATATCTTTTTCCAATCCCGGCAAAGGAAAGCCAGTAGAGTATGCCTTGGTTTAAGAAATGAAGCATCAAGGGATACAAATACAAGGATGCATACAACCAACACCAATAAACACATACAAATCACACCAGCAACTAGCAAAGTCAAAACAAAGACCGAAGCTATGCCTTGGTGGAGTAAAGAAAAAGGAAAAAAAACTCCGAGTGATCAAACCAATGATCAACAATCTACAACAGCAATCACGAGGTCAAAAAAATATCTACAGCAACAATCATATCATCGCCAATCATCTCTTGATAACAATTGTGATGCCATCACCACTTCCAACAATCCTCACAGCTACGTACACAGCATGGTCTTGACGTGAGGTACCACACAAATGAAGATCATGCTCACACAAGCGAACAGTCATGCCACGACAAGAGCCGATCACCATCAATTGCTCCCAACAACGAAGGTCGCCGTCGCACTTCGCAACAGAGATCGAGAGAGGAAGCCGCGAGGAGCCGAGGAAAGGCTACGCCGTCGGCCACACGGGCTTCACCCCGACGGCGTCTTTCGGTGGCAATGCCCTAGCCGCCCCGAATCCGGATACTACATCCCATCACAACTTTGTATGAAAAAAGATACAGAAAAGATCACGGACACATGTAGTGGGTTTAATTTGAAAAAATAAATAAAATAAAATTATGAATGCAGAATGTGCTAAATACAGTCGTGTGCAGTGGGTATATCTGCAATAATGCCACACTTAGGGCTAGGTGCGTACGGAATCGCCCTCCTCGAATCCTCTGCCGCCGGAAACGAGGTCCCTACCTCCTCCCTCTGCCTCCCCACAGCCGGAAAGGAGCTCCGAGCTCGTCCCCGACCCCGCGCCCCCGTCTCTCTGCCGCCGCCGTCGACGACGCATCTGTGCAGCCGCTGCCGGCCTCTGCACCCGACTCCAACCTGTGCCCCCGCCGTCAACCTCCCCTCCAGACATCCAGCGGCAAGGTGAGGCCATATCTATCTATCTAAAGCACTATATTGGGTTTGTCAATGGGCAAAATGTTGGTTTATGCTTGGATATGATGTACACATATTGGATCTGTTAAGTCCCACAATTTTTTGCTTGGGATGCGGTGAAAAATAGGGATGTTGTAAATGTGCAGATACTGGTTTTGCTCAATCTATGTGCACTGCAATTGCTTAACATTCCAGTTTGTTTTCCTAAAGAATGTGTGAGACTGTGAGGGCATGGACGGTTGGGCACTGCAATCTGTTCTGCAGCTTAGCCCCAGAGCCATTGACCCAAGTACTCTCAACTCATTACGAATTAAGATGAGTAGCCTGCCTCATATCAGGGACATAA